GCCACGCACCCCGTCTGCGCAGGGCCGTCACAGGCGTCACCTGCCCGGCCAGCGCGGCCGCGTGACGCTGGGGTCTGCGGAAGGTCAAACTGGCCGTTTCTTTCTCGCCTTCCACAAAGGCGCTCGGAGGTCCCCGAACGGTAAATGCGGCCAGTGCGTGACCTGGTTTCGTGGGTGCACGGGGCCCCGAGGTGCCATCAGCCCCCGGGGCTACCCGGCAGCCTGGCGGCGGTGTGCCTTCTGCCCGCGCCAGCGCGCCCACACACCTGCCAGCTGCCTCCCTCCTCCTGCCACAGGGCACGCCCTGAGCCCAGCGACACCACAGTGCAGGGAGCCACGGAGCAGGCGGTGGGACCGAGGCGCCCTCCTGCCCTGGAGAGGGGCCGCTGGCCCAGGCCCTGGCCTCGGTCCGCTCCCGGCCCCTCCCCCAGCCCCGGGAGATCACACTGCCCCGGGCGCGCACCCCAGGTGGGAAGAGCCGCCCCCTGCAAGGGGCCGGGCGTGGCCGTGGCCAGGGGAGCTCCTACCTTCTGGTAGTCGTCCCTGGACCGCAGGGCGGCCTCGAGGTGCTGGGCGCAGGCCGGGTAGATGGCCGACCGGTACTGGGAGCCGTGGTCGTTGCCTTGACGCATGCCTGGGGGAGCAGAGAACGGGGTTGTTACAGGTGGGCCGGGCCGGCGCACGCCGCCGTCACTTCCTCTCACGGGGCCCAGCGCCACTGGCCGGCGCCGCTCAGCCGCAGGTCTCTGCCCTTCCTACCGCAGGCCTTGGGCCCGCGGGTGCTCTGCTAACGTGTCTTTTTCGACGCGGATACTGAACCACAGCCCGCTCTGGGCACCGCTTGCAGCGCACACGATGACGTCCGCGTCCTGGGGACCCCGCCGGCAGGGGCGGCTGCCCCCCGCCAGCAGGCACGGAGTGGGGGAGCCACGGAGTGCGGCTCACTCGGTGACTGGCACACAGGCGTGGCAAAGTGGCCGGTGCTCGTGAGGGTGAGCAGTCTGCCTCAGGTCAGCTGCCTTGGGCAAGAGACCCGGACCTGGCAGCCGGCCCCTGGCCAGCCTGCTGCAGCCGAGGGGTGCGCACGAGGCCCCTCCCATCGCGCGGCACGCTGCGGGGTTCAGCAGCCACAGGCGCGGCGTGAGGCCCTACAG